ATATATATATATATATATATATATATATATATATATATATATATTATCATTATTATTATTATTATTATTATTACAGCCCTTTTCTGCTTTTTTTTTCCTCCTTAGGGTCCAGTAGGAGTTCCGGGGCTGATAGGAGAGCCTGGATCATTTGGAGTTAAGGTGAATAAATTTAATGTTTTCTCAGTTTTTTACTTCTGTTTGGCTTGCATGTCAGCAACAATTACTTGTTCTAAACTCAAATGAAACTCATTCTGCTAACATCCTTTTCACTGATTCATGGCAATATCAGGAATGATTTATTAATACCATTGTTTAGATATTATATAAATTTGTTCTAAATATTTAATCTTGTTTTTTCTGGATTGGAAAAGTGTCACTACATACTGCAGCATCTATTAGCCTGGGGCTCACTGCTGCACTTAGAATGAATATACTGTACTGTTTTGATGTCATCAAAGTATCTGCTTCAAAAAGCAAACGGCATCAGAAAGCTACATTTATCTAATGTCATCTTCAAAGGTCATTAGATAACAATTATGACTCTAAAGCTCAATGTTTCCTTTTGGGAAATCCCTCCAGATTAGTTTTACTTTGACTAAATTAGAAAATGTAAAAGTCAGTTTTCTTTCTCTAGAAGCAGTTGGAATCAAACTCACAATTGTTTTATCTGGACTCGTTCAACCCTCAAGTGCCTTTCATATTCATCCATCCATCCATCCATTTTCTTTACCCGTTTATTCCATTTTGGGTCACGGGGGTCGCTGGTGCCCATGTCCAGCAATCACTGTGCGAGGGGCGGGGTACACCCTGGACGGGTCGCAAGTCCATCACAGGGCCACATAGAGACAAACGAGACAAACAACCATTCACTCTCTCACTCACACCTAGGGACAATTTAGAGTTACCAATCAGCCTAACATGCATGTTTTTGGACTGTGGGAGGAAACCGGAGTACCCGGAGAAAACCCACGCATGCACGGAGAGAACATGCAAACTCCACCCAGAAAGGCCCCTGGACCGGGGTTTGAACCAAGGACCTGCTCGCTGAGAGGCAGCAGCTCTACCAGTTGCGCCACCGTGCTGCCTCCTTCATATTCATATTAAAATAAAAGTTTCTGTTTTTTATTTATTTTATACAATTACTAATAAGTCAGAGACCCAGCAGTCCCTTACAGGATTTCAGGAAGAATCATCTCAGAAAAAAAAAAAAAAGAAAGAAAATTACCAATTATTTATACTGTAGTTATTTTACCTTTAATGAAAAAATGTAGTGGGCGGCACAGTGGCTCAGTAGGTAGAGCTGTTGCCTCTCAGCGAGAAGGTTGCTGGATTGAATCCCAGCTGGGGGTCGTTCTGGGTGGAGTTTGCATGTTCTGTCCGTGCATGCGTGGGTTTTCTCCAGGTACTCCAGTTTCCTCCCACAGATTAAAAACATGCATGTTAGGCTGATTGGTAACTCTAAATTATCTTTAGGTGTGAGTGAGGGAGTGAATGTTTGTTTGTCTCTGTGTTCCTGTGATGGACTGGAGACCTGTCCAGGGTGTCCCCCGCCTCTCGCACAGTGATTGCTGGATCTGGACACCAGTGACCCCCTTGACCCAGAAAGGAAGAAGCGAGTAAAGATAATGGATGGATGGATGGATGGATGAACACGTGTTGTGTTTTATTCTCGCTGTGTTTTTTAATTTGCACTGATGTATTGTGTCCTGTTTTTAATCTTGTTTTGTCTTGTGAAGCACCTTGGTCAATGCAAGGCGTTGTTGGAAGGTGCTATAGAAATAAAGTTTATTATTATTATTATTATAAAATACCAAAAAACTGCATGTAGTTTTGTACATACTTTTTCTTTCACTTGTTTATATCCATTTTTTAATTCCAGGGCAGTAAAGGTGATCGAGGTGTCAGGGGCCCTCGAGGTAGAGTGGGCAGAGTGGTGAGTAAACAACTGAACAAGTCTGAAAAGATCAGGAAATACAGACACAGATATTAACTCCCAACTTCACCAGAATATCCTGTATGCCTCAAAGGAAGACAATGAAGGGGGTTGTTATGGTTCTCTTGTACATTTTCCATATAAAAGCCCCCGTTTAGTCATAAATTGACGTAAACTTACAGTTGATGGCTTGTCTGTGCACGTTTTGTGTGTGTGTGTGTGTGTGTGTGTGATGTAGCCTTGCACAAATAATCTTTTGGATCAAACACACTTGTCAGCACTTGTCATTGTTTTATCCAGATTTCTCAAGAACAAGCTTATTTTTTAAAAAACTTTTCTGTTAAAAATTCACTTTTGTCATTAAAACGAAAAGAGATGTGAAACCACAGGATTCATCATAATCTGAGCCTGTATCACAAAATGTACATTTTTCAGAGTGATGTCCAGTGTGTCAGTTTCACAGACTTGTGGTTTTATGGTACATACATTTTATTGTCTTTTCAAAACAACAACAAAGCACCAAAAAAACTAACTGAAATACTGTAATTTCTGGACTATTGAGCGCACCTGAATATAAGCCACGCCCGCTAAATTTAAAAAGAAAATTAAAATTTTACATAAATAGGCCGCATTTGTCTGTAGGTGTTCACGTTGTAACAAGAGATATTTACATAGATTTTTTTATTTTATTTTAATTAAATACGTACCAGTAACGCACACAAATACAGTAAATGTTTTTTTTTTTTTCTGAACAGTGCCTTTAACACGACTGATTAAAAAAAATGCAGTAGTCTACCAGGAAGCCATTGATCGCTACCCAAGAGAGATGGGTACTGGGCAGCTATGTGAGCGCCTGGGTGTGACGAAGCTAAATGTTTTGGTGGCGTGAAGCTCGTTAGCCCAACAACAACAACAACATCCATAAATTAGCCGCAGCATTGTATAAGCCGCTGTGTTCAAAGCGTGTGAAAAAAGTAGCGGCTTATAGTCTGGAAATTACGGTAATTACATCTATTGACTAATGGTAATTTATTGTCAGTAAATTATATAAAACTAGTCAACTAGTTTCATATTTTATTTTTAGAATAAAAACAATTTTGTAAACAGAAACTTTTGGAGTTTCCCTCAAACTATAAAAGTAGAACAAAAAATGGACTGTTTGGATGTTTCTGCTGCTTATCAGTTTCTGGTAACTTCTAAAGTTTCATTATTTTTTTTTTAAATGTATTTAGCAAAGGTCAAGAATATCTTAAGGCATTAGACTCCGTATGTAGGATGTTTTTAAAAAGAGAAGTGGGAAGTTTCCAGTCTGTATTTATTTTAACAGAGTGAACTTTTAACTTTTTTTAAATAGAAGTAAGCATTTATTCAACAGCTTTGCCATAGAGACATTGAATGCATCATAAAAAGGGGCCGCTGTAGAGCAGTGGCAGGGTAGCTGACTTGGGACCAGAAAGTCATAGGTTTGATTCCCCACCATGCCCACATGTTGTGGTGTCCCAAGGCACCTATTATACCCACCATATTGGAATGGTGCCTGTCAGCAGATCTACTGGTCATATCTGTTGACTGCTACATGGACAAACAGTTACAACAACAATAACAGGCATCTGTTCCGTTTTATTATACGCTTTATACATAAATCATTTTGGATTATTTTGGGACTTTTAGGACAAAGACACAAAATTTGTCCTTGCAGTGTGGTGTGGGTCTAAAAGACTAAAAGTTAAGGCCTCAGCTTTGTTGGTGTTTAGGACAAGTTAAATGGAAATGGAAGAGAATACAGCAAAGACCGTGATGACACATTAAACTGGGCCTAATACAGATACTTGTGGTGCACTTCAAAGAATTTGAAGGATTTTACAAAAGGGCTGATTGTTTTTCTCAGGAGACATTTCTGGTTTGTAAAATGTGTTTCAGTCAAAATGCCAAACCACTTTAAAAAAAATCCCCACATAAACCTTCTACTGTTTTAACTGGAACCAACAAAATGAATAATTCTCTAAATTAATCATTACATAAAGTATTTTTACTTGTCTGGTCAAATTTTTTTCTGACATTGTCCATAAACTTTACCTCATTTGATTTAAGATTATGCTCAAATAACAAATATTTCTACTTGTCCCAATAAAACCAAACTAGTTGATTGGAAGTTGTTGATATTTTATCAGTTTTTTACGCAGTGGGGCCTAAAATTTAATAGATTTTACTTTTATATTTGTGACAATGTTGATCTTTTAAAATTTGCAGCCAAGAAGAGAAACCGCAGCTAATGCTAAAAGTTATGAAAACAACACAACCCTCTTGAGGTTTTCTGGTTTGTTATTCAACAGGGAGGTCAAGGAGCTCCTGGAGATGCTGGCGTGCATGGAAAACCAGGACCAAAGGGCCTCCAGGGCCCAGTAGTGAGTAAACTCAACTCCAACCAGTGAACAGCTCAGTTAGCATCACAAAACGACCTCCACTCATTCTGTTAATATATATTTTTTTCTTATATTGATCACCATAATGTTTATACCACAAAGTAAGTGGAGAATATATAATGAGTTAAGAGTTTTCTTACAAATTATGTTTACCATTAACGCGCCATGATTTGTACTTAAAAAGAAAAGGAACATCCAGCCTGTTGTCAGTGCACGGTTCAAAAGCTTCCCTCTCTGATGGTATAGGGGTGCATTAGCGATTATAGCATCAGCAGCTAACACATCTAGAAAGACATCATTAATGCAGAAATGTATATACAAGTTTAAAAAAATATATTGTTTTACTGGCACATTTATTGTTCTGGAAGTATTTACACCTTTAATATACAAGTTTGACTAATGTTTCTCTTTAGGGGGCTAAAGGTGAAACGGGTCCAGATGGTGAAAAGGTGAGGATTATTTTTTAACAAACTGATAATTGTGTTTAAGTCTAATACTTATTATTCCCTCTAATTAAACACTCGCTCTGTTACCCTTTTGTTTCTTTTAAAATACTAATAAAAGTTGATTTTATTCACGAGTGGACATGTTGCCTAAAGAGAGTTCGTATCAGAATATGGTCCATTCTGTTCACTTAGTATATGGTTTTATTCAGATCATGGCATGTGAGGAACACATTTTGAGGTTTAGCATCTTGTGTAAACACACTTATATAAAGTTTTGCTGTTGGGCGAGAAACCTTTTCATAGAGAAACAACTTTTTGAAGTGTAAACATAAAGTATTTATACCTTTAAATCTCACTGACGTGGATGTCTGAAGGGAATTCCCCATTTGTTGACATTCCTTATCTCTTCCTTGTCCTTCTCATTTTCATGAAGTTGTTTTAAATTAGTCAGCTGTTATTTTTATGAAACTTCTGATTCATCACAACTTCTTCCTTCTTTCACCACAATTACTGGTTGTTTTGTTTTTTCAGGGTGCAGTTGGGAGGAAAGGTGTTAAAGGAGAGAGAGGACAAAAGGTAATTATGTAGATTTATATCAGGAAGCAACATTGTTGTTCTGCTTTATGAACACGGTTACAATTTCCTTTTTTTTTTTTTTTTGTGGGATTTACTATTGATTTGTTTATTCCTTTTTCTTATTAAACCATTAGGGAGGCAAGGCTGGTCCAGGAGACAAAGGACAGGTGATCACATCATTTTTATTCTCTTTATAATTGTGCCATTGTGATTCACACACATCTAAGTGGGTGTGGAAAGTTTCTGATTTAGGAAACTTAGGACTTTACAAAAAAATAAGAACAATAAAGCCTAAAAACAAGCTAAAATAGATTTGTGATTACTGATTAAATAAAAAGTTTTGTGAATTAGGATTAAAGATGCAATTTTAACTAAAGATGTCCCCCAAATTTATTATGTGGTGAGAATCATTTATCATTATTGGTTTTAAATACAGTCAGTCATAAAAAAACAGTCACACAACGAGGCTGATGTAAAGTCACAGAGTTTTAATGTGTAAAGTAAAAGCACAGAATAATTAACTGAATAAATATTCTCCTTTATCCCTCTGTTGTTTTTCATTTTATTTTTTAAAGAGAGGCCCAAAAGGCGCAGCGGGTCGAACCAGCACCGCAGGCCCTCCAGGACCACCTGGCATCCCAGGGTCCAGAGGAGACCGAGGTCCAATCGGTGACCCAGGTGGTAAAGGTGGAGCGGGACCCAAAGGAGCCCCAGGTCCATCTGTGAGTAACATCTGCACGCAAGACGTAAAGAGTTGACCTCCTCGGAGCTGCTTCTGTTCTCTGATTTATAGTAGATTAATCTGTAGACTGATTTATGAAACGTTTCATTATAGTAAACATTAATTATGTTTTAGTGAATGTTAATGAACAAAGCTAAATTAAAGAAATTGTACGTACAATTATTTAACATATGTGATGGATGTTTTCTTTTCCACCCGTCTTGAATCTGTTTATCTGCCTACGACATGTTTTATAAGTGTTCACTGACTTTTTGAAAAACATTTAATTTAAACTAATACAACGTTCGTGTATCCTTATCAGTGATGCGGAGAAGCTAAACTTTGTGGTTTTGGTGTTTCAGGGTCCAGGTCTGACAGACGAGCAGGTCCTGCAGCTCTGTAAAGATGTGGTCAGGGCCCAGCTCTCCCAGTACGCCCCTTCAATCCAAGCCAAGTGCGCCCAAGGCTGTCCCATCAACGACCGGACTCTAATCGGACCTCCAGGAGTCCAAGGACCCGCAGGACCACCTGGCAAAACTGTAGGTTTTTCTCCAGATTCACATAAAGTGATAGGAAGACCAGCAGCTCATTTCTCCAGAGCTTTATAAAAATGTAGTTTCCTAAATGAGTTAATTAAACAGAGAACAGCAGAACATGGTTTACAAATGTCATCTGTAAGAGTTCGTCAAATATTTCTCATCACTTTGATAGAATTGCAGAGCATCTCATTGACTGATTAAAATTTTGGACATTGTTTTTCTCATTTTAGTTAAAATAAGTCTTGAAGTGCACATAAAACTTTAAATAGACTAAGTCCATATTGTCCATCAGGGTAAAGCAGGAAAAGCTGGAGAAAAGGGCTCCAGAGGTGTTCAAGGTGACAGAGGGACTGAAGGACAGAAAGGAGCAGAGGGTCAAAGAGGTAAAGTGACCTGTTCATAATAAATCTGGAGGGTGTCATGATTCTCCAGGTCAGTGACTCGCACCTTTAGTTTTGTTGTTGTAGGACTGATAACTTCCTTAAAAAGGGAAACCAGTTGTTCTCATTGTCCACCCCAACTCTGCATCTGAATGAAAATGTCTCATCTGTACATGACAAACCAGCAAATCCTTGCAATTAAACATCAAACTATCAACTATAAAAGATATATATATATATATATATATATATGTATATATTTCGAACCATTATGTCCCTTTGTAACACTGATGGTCATATGGCTTTTGCACTAAATGTTTACACTATTTTATTCACTGGCTAAAATTAACATCTTTAGCTTCAGATGTTTCCTACACATTTTACAAAAACTGCTTGTTTAAATTAACGCCTGTTTAAGGACACATTAACAACTGTTCCTCTTCACATCTAAATTTATAGCCTTCTGCGCTTTGGTGCTTTGAGTCATGACTTTTCTTTTTTTCTGAACAGGTCAAAAGGGACCTAAAGGCGTCACAGGGGATCCAGGCAAAGGCCCGCCAGGACTCGATGGACCACAGGGACTCCGAGGTGAGATCATCTTCCTGATATTTATGCAAAGAGACAAAACATTTTCTGTATAAATTAATACGAGCGATTCTCCCCGATTACTGGGATTTAGATTATTTTGTGGATGTTCAAATGTGTTTTTCCCACTTTGTAAACAAACAAACAAACATGACATTAACTACCGGTACTCACTTCATTTTTGTAGTCAATATAAAATGCTTGTTTGTTTTTAATGGCAAATCTAATTTTCTAAATTTCTGTGACCTTTCCCAGGTTTCCCAGGTCACCCAGCAGAACCTAAAAATGGGATTGAGGGTTCTCGTGGGCCTCGGGGCTTCCCTGGTCTGGTGGGTCCGCCTGGTACTGTCGGGAACTCGGGAGTGCCGGGGTTTTGCGAGGCGCGGGACTGCAGTATTCATGCACCAGTGTTGCGCAAAGAGCAAGGTCTGGTGAAAGGACCTTCAAGTATCTGGACCTGAACACAAGCACCAAGCACCTCCATGGGGGAATACATTTTCTGCAGACGTCATGGTTTATCCCAGTCTTAACGTGCACAGTAACTCCTTTTAAATGAGAAAAATACTGTTTGTGCATTTCAGACAATAGTTTATTAAATGAGATTTTGTACACTATTTTTTTTAAATAACACTTTCTAATAAACACTGTTACAGTGCGAGTTAAAAACAACACAGCTGATGCATTTTGATTGAACCCAAGTTTCCTCCCAAAGATTAAATAAATATGTAAATATTATGTAAAGTGCCTAAAGATTCATGTACTGTATTTGTTGCCGATAAACTGTTTTGCTCTTTTTTTATAAACGGTGTCAGCTCTGAAGTTTTATGACTCATTTGGGTTTCATTATTCATTTTGATGGTAAATCTTTGACATTACCTGGCAACCAAATCAATAAGTCTTTACCATCTTTTTATTGAGTTAAATGAACAAACTTAAGAGATCAACGAAAAGTTAACGAAAAGTGTAAATCACACTTTGACAGAATGACATCTACTTAGAAGAACTTTGTGATGTTCAAAAATATGTATTTTTAGCATTTATAAAATTGAAAATACATTTTTATTAAGTTTTAGATTTTGACATGTTTTAATATATATATATATATATATATATATATATATATATATATATATATATATATATATATATATTTTTTTTTATTATTTTTTTATTGTTTTTTAATTTTTTTATTACCGTATTTTCTGGCGTATAAGTCACAGATTTTTGCATAGATTTGTCGTCCTGCGACTTATACGCTGAAGTGATTTAGGTTTTGTTTTTTCTCTTCATGAGGCTTTTTTTGACCGATGCGACTGATACTCCGGAACAACTTATACGCCGGAAAATTTGATATTAATTAATCAGTGTTTGAATTTGAGCAAAGAGCTTAAATGTCAACAGATATGCAAATAATTGTGAATTTTAATAAAACGTAATTAACTGCAATATTTTTGGCACCAATTGTGTGAAAAGTCAACAATCTCAACAGTAACATGGTGATGACTCTGTTCTCATGTTATTTTGTAAGCAGCATTTTATATAGTGCGTTATCAAATAAATAAATAAATAGTGTCCATTAAACGATTTCAAGTTTGTAAACAGTTTTTTTATTTAGGTTGGAAAATAGAAACGGCACAGCATGAGTGAAGAGCTCCCCATGATCGTCTCCATTTTGTTAAAAACAATTCACAACATCACAAAGAATCTGAACAAAATTTGGAGATTATTGTAAATACTTGATTATGATGAATGATTTAACAGTGCAGAGGGAAAACGGTGTGCTTGGCACTATTAAAAAAAAAACATTCACATATTGATAAACCACGACAAATAAGCCAAAAAAAAAAAACCAAATATGCTTCATGGCACAGAGATGGATAAAAACACCACGGATTAAAGTTTTCATTGCACATTCTCACACTTGGCCCTTTCGTTTTTTTTACTAAACTGAATGCTCCATTTAAATGTCAGTCATGATGCTTGTAGTCCCACTGGTTATTTGAAAGCTAGTGGAGAGTAACTATAAACTAATGCTGGAGTTTAGTGATATCAACAGGTTTTAGAGAACCTGAAATACTTACAGAGCAAGAAAGAGCATCGTTAGTGTTTTAATGGCTTTTTTAAATCAGCATTGATTCTTTGGTTTAGGACTTGATTAAAATGGCTGTTTTAAAAATATTGAAGATGAGGCTTCATTCTCAGTGGCATCAGGTTAGAAAGCCATTCTTAATGTGGATCACGTGAAAAACAAATGGGTCTAACAAAACAGCACTTTGATTTTATTGTTTTTATAACACTATTGTTTTTAATTGCTTTTATTCTATATATGTTGTCTGTCTACAACAGGTCTCTCTTGAAAATGAGTCCTGGTCACACAATGAGACTGACTACCTGTATAAATAAAGGTCAAATAAAAAATAATAATATTCAAGCATAAATCCAACAAAGTGCTTCTAGTAGGTTTAGGAGAAGACAACTGGACTTTATATTTTTGGAGATGCTTTAAATCTCATCTGAGTGTTTTCACTTCAAACTGAGAAGATTTAAAAAAAAGAGTTAAAAGCTTTTAAACTAGTGAGTTGATGCTTTTGCTAACTGAACTAACATGCAAATCACTCTCCCTCCCCACGGGTCAGTGGAACACTTTTCAATTTCCATTAAGAAAGCTCCTTGTAGTGTTCAAAATCTTAAGTCAGAACCAGTTGTCTTTCTTTAAATCTACCAGGATTACCATGCCCCAGATTACCTGAGATTGAGAAAAAACAAAACATTAAACAGTATTGACGATAGCTTCAAGCAAAGAGAAGTTTAAAAACAACAAAAGGATGTAAAAAATATATATATATAAAAGGAAGACAAACTGAGGTGAAGCTTCATACTGATTTTAAAAGAGGTAGATAACTTGGCTTGAAGCTGCTAAAAGTGCAATTTACACTTCAAACTGGCTGTAATTTGTTTGTTGGTCTAAAATTATTTGTACTCTTTAGAGTTTTGTTAGTTTTGCCTTGTTGTGCGGATGATGGCTTGATGGTCCCGTTAATACCTTGGCTCAACTTTAAGAGGTGTTGATGGCAGCAAAGGAACAGATTTTATTGATGACTCAAGCTATCATATAAATCCGTTTAGGAAAATAAAGTATTCTCAAAATGGTTCACATTTAATAATATTCAGTTGTGTAACAGAATACAGTAGTCCCTCATATCATGGTAGATCTGTACCCTGAAATCTTGTGATAAGTGAAAAAGCTGCGAAGTAGGAATAATAATAATAATAGTAGTAGATATCTATCTATCTATCTATCTATCTATCTATCTATCTATCTATCTAT